GAAAAATATGGTATATATCCTGTAAAAGCAACCCAATGGGGGAAACACTGAGTTTAAGTGAGACGAGGGTAGGACATTTTTAAAAATCTTTTAATTTGATTTTAATGCTTTACATTAATTAATTCATTAATTTTTATTCCTGTGGTCAAAATGTTGGGAGACAGAACCTCTTACAGATCTAATAGAAAACATCCAGATATCTAACGGTAGATCATGATCTTCCCTCCATATTTCTAGTTAACAGGATACTGTGCATTAACTTTTTGTGTGTGTGTTAACTTTTAAGAGCTTGAAAGGTGCTCACTCGCCAAGATGCTCATAAATGTGAAAGACATGATGGAACTGCTGTGCCTAGTATCTGAGGTGAGGAAGATGAAGGCTGCCGTCAAGCAATCTGGATATGGTGCATTTCTAGCAGGAACGGGGGCTTTGCTCGGAGCCTTAACGGGTGGCCTTGTTGGAATCGCTCTAGGTAAGGAGGTACATCCTAGCTTTGACTGAGTTTCTTCTCTGATGATTAAAGAAGGATAATAATTCTTCTGCCCAGTAGCTGAAGATGGTCCTGTGGGCTGCAGATGTATCTTAAGTCAGTGGTCCCCAACGTTTTGACATCAGGGACTGGTTTTGTTGAAGACCATTCTCCCAAGGACTTTGGGGGTGGGGAGTACTGGTTATGCAGTAGGTTGTTGGAGGGTCGCTTTGAATTGAGCTCATAAAGGAAATGGCGAGCAGGAGGGGAGCTGCCATTGAAGCTCCGCCCCCTGTCAGATCGGCAGCGGCATTAGGAGAACCTAACAGGAGCGCGCAGACGGGGTGGAGCTTTGCTGTCCGCTCACCTCCTGCTCACTCCTCATCTGTCCCATAGGCTCGGTCCTTCCAAGGCCCCAGGGTTTGGGAACCCCACCTTAAGGAACTGAATAAACTTCACATGCATCCCAGAGGCACCTCCTTAGTTTTTATGCCAAGTTTCAGGGGTCTGGAATTCACAGTCTTGTAGATATGGTTAGAATAGACAAGCGTGGGCCTAGAGAGGGATTTAACATAGGTGGCACTTCAAAAACAGACTAATTTGATTTGGCACTCGTCAGTGGACTTGGGCCTTGCCCGGGTTAAAATCTCATGAATTCCACTCACGCCCACTGTCCTCACTCTTCTTGGTGCCTGCCCTCTTTTCTCTTGCACCCCCCTCTCTTTCTCTCCCCCCTCTCAGTACAGTGGTGCCTCGCAAGACGAATTTAATTCGTTCCATGGTTCATGTTGTCTTGCGAAAAATTCATCTTGCGAAATGCGTTTTCCCATAGGAATGCATTGAAATCTAATTAATGCGTTCTTACGGGCAAAAAAAGTCAGAAGAAAGTCAGATTTGGTTTACAAAGGGTTTATTAAGTGCATTTTAAAGCCATACATATTGTGCAAATGATTTTTAAAAAATCAATAAAAAAACTTTAACTTTGTAAACATCATAGAAGAATGTTTAAAAATCAGCAAACATGAGGCAGGAACAAAAAACGGAAAACATTCTTCTTGCGAAGCACGGCTATAGGAGCATTTGTCTTGCAAGTCATCAACTTCCCCCCATTGCCAAGACCATTTGTCTTGCGAGTTTTTTTGTCCTGCGAGTCATTTGTCTTGCGAGGGACCACTGTACTTGCTGTTCTTATTTGAGGATTACAGTTCCTCAGCCTGCGTAACTCCCAATTATTGATGGATTGGAGTGCATCCTGCGTAAAACAAAGTGCAACATCACTCCGAAGGTATCACAAATACTTGGGGATACCCCTTAGGTTCCCAAAATTATTTCCAAGTATGCCACCTATCCTGTTTTCATCGCAAACCTATAGTCCGACTACATGGTCAAAGACCCAGAGACTTGTTCTGCTTATGAAACAGGTAAATTTAATGTGTTTTTTTCACTGACTGCGAGACACAAAGGCTGATTCCATTTGGTCAAGGCCTGTTTGCTCCCAAAGTAGCTATTGGCTTCTACTTTTTCAAGCTGGAACCATTTGAACAGCTTTCTTCCAGAGTGGTTAGTTGTGTTCCATTCTGGTAAAGGCAGGAGTTATGTCTACAAGTGGTGTTTTGATGACATAGGTAGCTGTGGCATGATATTCAAGCTTGGGGAAGGCACACGCAAAAGCAGAGCACCATGATTGTAATATTGAGGACTGGGTGCTAGTCCCGAATTCTTTCAAACCATACCTCATTTCGGTCCACAAAAGTTTATATCAGAACAAACTTAATAGTTTTTAAAGTGCCATTAAGATTCCTTGGTGGTTTTGCTACAAGTGAAAACTATAGTGGGGTGCGTGTTTTATGTGCTGTCATGTTGCATCTAATTTAGGGTAACCTATGAACTAATGACTTCAAGTCATCTCAGGACAGTCCTACTCAGATCTTGCAAATGGTGGTTTAGACTTTCTTTCCTGCATCATTACTGTAGCTAGCAAGTAGTTTCACTTCTGGTTACTCTGGGTTTATAAAGGAAAACGTGATTTCTATTTAGGGAACAACAGAGACCAATTGGGATGATGAGAACCAGTTTTTATTTTCTAAGAAAGGGGAACGTTGACCCTAATGGGTTTTGACTGAGGAAATGTGGATCTCCATGGAGAACACTATTATTCTAAAGGCTACACTGCTTTGTTATAGCAGTTTTCCCCCACATTAAATGCCATGGCTGCATCCTAGGGGATGCTGGGCTTTGTAGTTTGGTGAACTCTCTGCCGGAAAGCTCCAGTGCCCTCCTTTGTCCACAGCAAGGGCACCTCACCAAACAACATATCCCAGCATTCCCTAGGCCAGTGGAGGCAAACCTTTTTTGGCTCGAGTGCCCAAAATGAGGGGTTGGGGAAGAAACCAGTGGCTGCCATGCTGCCCGGAAGACCAGAACCAGAATAGGAAGTAGCAGCTTCAGGGTGAATCATGGGGACGGACAGGAAGTTAAAGGGGGAATCATGGGGACGGACAGGAATTTAAAGGGGGAATCATGGGGGTGGACAGGAAGTTAAAGGACCCACAGCAGGGATCACTTCAAAAGGTTTGTGGGTGGGTGGGCCACTCACTCGTGTGCTGGAAAAAAGGGCTTCACGTGCCAGCTGTGGCACACGTGCTGTAGGTTTGCCATCCCTGCCCTAGGCTGTAGGCGTGGTAGTTAAGATGTGGAATGAACCGCTGCAGTCATGGAATGTCGATGCGTTTGAAGTATCCTGAAGCAAGCTGTTGTGGGTCCTGATCTGTATCAACATCAGAGGAGAAAAGTGAGCTCTTTGCTAGTCTACCCGAAGCCTTGCATCTGGAACAGACGTCTTGACAATGGGAGATGACCTTGACTCTCCTCTTTTGTGTTTCTTATCCAGGAGGTGCCATTGGAGGTGTGCTTGGTGCCGGCATGTCTGCTGGGAAATTTAAACCTGTCCCGCAAATTATTATGGAACTGTCTCCTCGGCAGCAGCAGCAGCTTTGTAATAAGGTCCATGCCATCACTAGGCATCTGGACTGGACAGATATGGCAGCAATCACTGCCCTGGTCATGACAAATGGAAGCATCCAAGACCAGGTGCTGGGGGTTCTAGGAAAGTTCTTCACTAACACGATTGGAGCTGAAATCCGGTATGGAAAATAGGAAGGAACTTTTCCTTCCAGTGATGTGGGCATGTAACACAAAGGAACGCCAACGCCTGCAGATTATTTAGCCTTCCTTAGCATTGCTCTCTGGCAGTTTTATTCTCTTTTGGTACTGCCCTCTTTTGATTTGTAAAGCAGAATAAAGATAGTGTGTTCTGGATCACAATATGCTGTTTTACACGCAGAGCAAAGAAGCAAGCAAAACTGTTTTTATATTTTTGGATTCAAATAAATCAGTTTCTCCTGAACCTTTGCATCTGTTCTGCTCTTCAGAATGCCTTTGCAGGACAGGTATGGCTTAATGAATCAAGGACAAGTTGGGTTCCAACCCCCGCTCAGCCATAAAACTCACAGCTGATGTTAGGACAGTCCAATGTTCACATCCTGGCTCACTTCGCAGCGCTGTCGTAAGGATAGAGTGTAGACAGGAAGAGAACTCTGTACTTTGCTTTGAGCTCACTGAGAATTTAAGGCACGACTCTCAGTCTAAGGTCCAATCTTCCTCTTCTCTCATTCCTTGGGTGTCTCAACTGGAAGATCTCTTGCTCAGCAGGAAAGAAAACTATTGTCAGCCAAAATGGAGAGGACAGGCCAGTGATATGTCCCTGAAACAGACTAAACATTTTAGTTAAAACATTTCAAAACATGTTCCGCTAATGGATGCCAGACACAATGATCCAGCATCTTGGAAAGTTGGTTTTTGGGGTAAGAATTCCCAGAATTCCTCAGCCATTTATAACCATGTACAGCCATAACAAAGTCATCATGATAAAACCAAAGAAACAGTGAATACATTCAAATGGGATAATGTGAAATACATGGATAATAAGTGTTGATCTGGTACCAACTGTATCTCTGTGGGGGAGGGTGGTGATGGCATTCAATAGCTGTGGAAGAGAACCAGGGGACGTATTTACACGATCAGGAAGGAGTGGGGTGAATTAGACTAAAAAGGGTCAGTAGGTGGCCTGGTATGCTATTTGGTGTCCTCATACGCAAATGACATATGGACCTTAAGTGATCCTATTTGGCCTGCAACAGCTGGCCTCTGATTTGACAATAAGATAGCCACTTCAGGATACTGACAAATTAATCACTTCCTTGGCTCCATGAAGGGGCAGAAGAAGAGTCTGCAAAAATGCCAGTGGGGGCATCTTGAACATCATGTTTCTGCTCTGGTAACATAAAACTACCTCTTGTAGTTCTTGTTTGGGCATTTTTCTGAAATCAGTGTATGTTTCTAGTTGCTGATTGAGGCACCCTTATGCTCCAAGCATGCAAGCACATACTTGAAGGGAACCCTGGAGCATCTTTCAACGTGAAAGGGCCCATAAGCTTGGCACTATGACATAATGGATTACAGGTTTCTGGACGGAGGATGTGTTCTGCCTCTTAATGACACAATTCTTAGCATATTTCTTCTCCTCTGAACTGCTGTTTTACACTTAGCACCAATTAGGATTTGAAGACCAGGTTTCAGCAAAGAAAATCCCACCCTAAAACAGAAAACAAACAAACAAACCCCCAAAGCAGATCCCAAGAGCCTGAAGACTGCTTTTCCTTGCCCTGTAGAAGGAGGGCTAAACGTTCTGCATCAACCTGAGGGATACAGTTGCCTGGGCCTGACCAATCAGCACTGGGAGTAATCTATAAACCCAAATCCTGTTGCATAGTTATGCAAAAGGAATAACTTGCAGCAGTGAATTGCTATAAATTAAGAAATCTTTGAAGGGGCTATCTGTTAAATGCCAAGTTGTGAGATTCGGTATGCAACAGATAGTGCCTGTGGAGATTTCTTAATTCTCTGCTAAAAGTTATGCTTTTTGTGTGTTTGTGTAACTGTGCAACTGGATTCCAGCCAGTTTATGATTCTTCTGCCTCTCCTGTG